TTCAGAGTTCTAAAATTATCCTTTATAAAAGAAGGTCGTTAATTTGCAAACTGCAATTAAAACACAAACTGTCAGAAAAAAGTACTCTTTCAGCTCAGTGACCTTCTCACGTAATGGTAGGACATTATACTTACTAACAGAACAAAAAACAAAACCTGCACGCTTACATGTTTTGCACAGGAAGTTCTGGTTTGTTATCATCTCAGTAAGAAAGGCACCCGAGCTCTGTAAAATCTCATTTAAAATGCTATTTATTAGAGCTAATGCTATAAAAAAAGAGGGATATTTTATATTCCTTCCTATGCTGGGAATCCTGAGTCATGCAGCATCGAAAAGGCGTACGATTAGGGTGCAACAAGTTGTGCAGACCCCACTTATGCAAGCTTTATCTCATTTTGGTCATTTGAGTTACTACAAGGTCTTCTTAGAATAAAACAACTCCACTCATCACTCAGCTACTGTCAAACAGAAAGGATGTTCACATGAGAACTTACTGCTGCACTTCTACACAAAGGCAAGGACACACTCCAAGGGGCTGGAGGGTAGCACGCAGGGAAAAACAGAAAGCAAGCTCAGCCTGTCTGCTGCATCATTTACCTTCATTTCTCCACCACTTCTCCAATCTATCATTTAAGCAAATACGGTGAAATACTTAATTCTTCCATGTTGGCAGTATTTGTATTTCATATTACAAATAGCCAGCCACTCAGCGGCTAAAGGCCCATGTTTAGTTTTTCTCTCAATCAGCTGTGGCATATGTTTTCATTTCTGTATTTTCAAAATATGCATGACAACCTATGAAAGCACAGAAAATTCTATGAAGCCTTACCTGAAGAAATGCTCCTTTGTTGGCTTTTGCTGGTTGACTTTTAAATGCTGTCATGTTCTTCATAATCAATCTCTCAAAGATATATTTTTAACCTTAACATAGGCATTTTAAGGATTTGTTCTATGGACAGACATACTACAGTTCTATATTTTATTTATTCAAAAGATATTAGGTCTTCAAGAATAAACCATGTTGATGACCTTCGAAGAAAAATAGTGGTTTCAGAAATGATAGTAAATTTAAAGAATTTTTAGCAAGGCCTCAGTTATGAAAAATGTGCATTTAAAGTAATTTTAAGTTAAATTGTCATTAAAGAAAATGAAATAATATTTCTGTCACATAAAAGGCATCTTGAAATAACGTATTTTTTAAAGACTGAAACATGGTGACACTTTACATGGTAAAAGCTGGGTACAACCTTAGATAAGGAATAGGCTTCATTTACGAGCACTAGTGTCATTTGCTACCTGAAAATAATGCTGTTTCCAAAATAAAGTTAATAGCTTTGGTTCACATCTGCAGAAACACAGAGAGTATTACTCCAGACTAAGTGGCAAAAGAGAAGTTCAGACACCTTCCAAGCATTCACGCATTCAGTATTGGCAAGGCAGCCCCCAGACTAGTATGAGCAAACTCTCAGCCTTGTCTGAGGTATTTTTGTTCTGTATTTTATTGTTGCAAATCTTACAGACATTAGCGCTCTGTTAAATAAAGAGATGTAGCACAGTAAATACATCACAACAAAATAGCTGGCCAGAAACCCACCACCCTGTCCCACCCCAAACCAAAAAGCCCACTCCTCTCCCCCCTACCTTCACCCCCAAATCAAACCACTGCAGCCTCATCACAGAGGTGAGAAACCTGTGGCAAAAAACATCAGAGGAATTACATTCAGTAGATGTGCAGTATATCAACATTCCAGGCTCACATATATTTATATATATATTTATATTTATAGAGAGAGATCATTAAATGTTTACAAAGAACAATATTGTTACAAATACAATACTATACTCTTCCCAACGCTTTACAATAATTTCTATTCACCCTCTTTACAGAACAATAGTATAACTTCATAGTCTAGGTACTGCGCTAAATATGTACAAGAGATATCAACCACATTGCTGTCTTCAGAAATACATTTCATTTAGAAAACAAGGAGAGCAGGCAAACTTGGAAATCCCCAAAATACTCAATTTCGAGCAAGATTCATCCCCAAAATTCTCAAATTCAAACAAGATTCAAAACAAATGTGTGAAACTTGACAATGAAAAAAGCTGTAAGGGATGTTTCATCCTTAATGTAAACACGAAAGAGTTAATTAGACTGTATGAAGCAGCAAGGATGAAAAAGAATTCAGGTCTGTCACTGAAGAAGGAATGTAAACCAGCAGTTTGCTCCTCTGAACCTGTTAAAAATTCACATACTGCTGCAACAGCCTAGAGAACTGCCAGCTTTCCCTTTCAAGCTCCCTCTTTTCCCTTTACAAAGCAAAATGGGATTGTTCACAAGACTGTTATCAGAAGTGTGCACACACTATGGACCTCTGAGTTCAGAAATCTTATGCACACAATGTAATCAGAAAAACTGAGATTTTTTGCTAGACTCTGATCCTGCAAACATTCACTTGCTTAATGTTAAGCACCTGTTCCCTGTGAACTTTCAAGCACTCAGGTGCCAGTAACTTCACAGATTTGTGGCTGCAAGATTTTCAGAGAAGCAGCTGTTTCATCTCTAAATACATTTGCATGTTCAGGTCTTCATCATTTCCCAATGAAGTGAGTTAAAGACCCCACCACACGAGCCAGATAGAACCACAGAAACAAGTGAAGCTAAGGGTGTAAACATAGCAGGAACCAGAAGCATGGTAACTGTGTCTTCAAGAGTTCACTAAGTTTCCTCAGGCAACTTATGGAAAGGCTGCACTGTATATAATCTTCTAAATTGTACATGGTTATATATCATATTTACATATATTACTATATATACGGGAAGTTCTGGAAAAACGTTCAAATGATCATAAACCAGATGTCTACAGTTAAACGATATACTCACAAGTCATTCACTATCTAGTTGCATCAGTCAGGTAGCAGAGGTAAGTACTAACCTGGAATACTAACAATGCTCTTTTGTGCAATCTGCTATTCTGGAGATTTGGATTAAGTTATATAACAACAAGAACTGCAGTAAAATCGAGTCATCATACATTAATCTCAACACTAAAACATATTCACTTACTACAATAGTTTATGCACCACCTCATTATCTCCCTTAACTACTCGATGCCCACTGAAGTTTGATCAGCCTGTGGGTGTCCATGATTTCCAAATGCTGAAAAAGGACCTCTGGCAAGAGGGCTCGATGACTCTCAGTGGCGTCTGCACTCAGCATGCATATGTACACACACACCCACCCGCTTCTATAAATCTCCGTAGCAATGCCCAGGCAACTATTGCTGGACTGCAAACAACACTTACATTGCAGAGTCCACCCCACAACAGCCAAGGAACAAGTGACTATGACCAACAGTGCATTTGCAAAGCAGAAGCGGCGTGTGGTGGCGTGTTGCTGCATGTGGCCTGCTCTTGCTTTCACCTCACTGAGCCTAAAACACAGCACAGACTGTTTCTTCAGAGGAAACCAACATATTAACCTGGAGTAAATGCGTGGTTCAATTTCAGCATAAAGAAACCAGTATACAGTCCTGGCAAAAAAATAACTATAGAGAACGGAGAATTTTCCTCTCACTAGGAAGAAAAGCCACTGCTGCTTCCCTCCCTCTCGCCTCCCCTCCTTTAAAAAAAAAAACAACAAACCCAACCCAACCCCTTTTTCCCCTTGCGTCTCCAACATGCAACTTAGAGGCTAATCAAATCCTAGATTTCATACATCCCTAGAGTTTATCATCTTCATACAAGTGCATATAGTACACATATATCTCCTTTAAGTGCCATACATATGGAAAAAAATCACAAGTTAAATTATATAACAAAATAAATAAGTTTATTCCCACCTCATCCCTTCCACTGTTACCTATATCATGAACTAAAGAGAAAGTCAATAAAATTAGACAGGTCTTTGGACAAAAATATATGTTAAAACTGGCTCAGAGAACAAAATTACTTAGAATAGTCTGCAGATCTCTTATATTCAAACTTCATAAATAGCAAGCACAATTTTAAAAATATCTATATACACTGGCACACGTGGTTGTGTGCACCAAATTCAGAATTAAGAGCCTAGAAAAAGTGTAGCTATTCAGGAAATCCCCTCACTGTTTCTCTTGTAGGTATTTAAAGATCCTGCCCCCCATCCTTTAACCTCTAAAATAGGAAAGGAACTACAAAAGACATGTTGCATTTAAAAACAAAGTAGAAGAAAATGAAGAGTTAGAAACCTTGGGGCAGAGAAGGGGAGGCAGCTGTAAAAATCACCTCCCAAATTACTTAGTGTAAGTAATGCAAGTGTAATGTGTTCCAGCAACTCACAGAGTACCTCTTGGGGTCCTACTATCATGAGGAACCGACGACAGAGGGGAATTAAAGGGTCTGTACTTGGACAGTCCATTTTACAACAGCAGCATTTACTGAGTCTTCATAAGCACGTAATTCTTGAGGGCAAAACAATCCTTTTGGCATTTTTTTTATAAACCTTTTAATACTGAGCTCAGTGTCTGTGGGAAAATAGAGCAAGAAAAGCAAAGTCACATGCAGGATATCCAAGAGAAGACTTTGCACCCTATACTTTGATCTGTTTGGTAAGGACATCTTTCATTCAGCAACATGTAATTTAATCAGTTTGTCAAACTATAGCCACAAAAATAAAACTGATTATGTACCACGAAGCAAAGCCAATCTTCTTTGTGAATACTGCTGTGAACAATGCTGCTGTTATTTTCCCATTTTGTGTGTGGAACTGCATGAAGTGCCACTTGTAAAAAGATGCAACCAAAATAGTCCCATAGACTTATTTTGCCCCTTCCCATAATACAGGAAAACGGTGACAAGAGGAAAAAGGGAGGGAGGGAGGAGAGAGAAAGGGTGTGTGTATGTCTGTGAGAGAGAGAGAGAGGAAGAAATGTCTCTGCAGATACAGAAATGCAGCACTAGAGAGACAAGCACTAATGAGGAAAAACGTCCTCCATGCACATTGTCATGGTGAGGTGTCAGCTTCAGATGTAAACTGGTTGCTCTTGTGCAGTCAACAGTCTGTACATGGCAGCTGGCATAGTCTTCATATGAATCTGGAGGAAATACAGCAAGTTAATCCACGTTCCTAATATTTATCCTCTGACAGAGCACTGGTGAAGGAACTAGCTAAGGTTGTGCAGGACAGAAGGAAAAGGTATAACCTGAGAGTTTGCACGACCTTATTAAAGTATTGCTGGTGGTGATTTCATGAAACTGCTATCTGTAATATCAATGAACCACCTAAAGGTGTGCACACTTCATATCTTCAGATTAGGGTTCTTCCAAAACATTGGAGAACTACAGGTAAGCAATAAAAGAAATGGTATACTGGCTCAGTCTCATTTTCTAGATTTGAATAGCAACGGGCTAGTAGTGGTAGAATCACAGAATTGAGGAACAGTGAGTTGGAAGGGACCACTGAAGATCATCTAAGCCAAACTCTCCTGCTGTGGGCAGGGACATCTTTAACTAGACCATGTTACTCAAAACCCCATCCAACCTGAACTTAAAGTTTTCCAGGGATGGGGCATCTACCACCTCTCTGGGGAACTTGTTTCCCCACCTCCATTATAAGAAGTATATTCCTTAGATCCAGCCTATATCGACCCTCTTTTAGTTTAAAACCACTGTCCACTAACAATGAGCCTTCTCTTCTCCAGGCTGAACACCAACTCTTTCAGCCTGTCCTCATATAGAAGAGGTGCTCCATCCCTCTGAATATCTTTGTGGCTCTCCTCTGGACATGTTTCAGCAGGCCCATGTCCTTCTTGTGTTGAGGGCTCCAGACCCAGACACAGTACTCCAGGTGAGGTCTCATGAAAGCAGAGGGGGAAGACTACCTCTCTTGACCTGCTGGCTATACTTCTTTTCATGTAGCCCAGGATATAACTGGCTTTCTGGGGTGTGAGCACACATTGTGGCTCACTTCCAGCTTTTCATCCCACAGCTCCCCCAAGTTCAGCACTGCCCTAACCCATGTGCAGGATCTGGCACTTGTCCTTGTTAAACCTCATCAGGTTCACATGGGCCCTCTTTTCAATCCCCCTAATGGCTTCCCTTTTCTCGATCTTATGAACTGCACTACTGAGCTTGGTGTCATCTGCAAAACTGATGATGGTGCACTCAATCCTATGAAGATATTAAAAGTACTGGTCCCAGCACGGTCCCTCGAGGAACACCATTTGTTACTGGTTTCTACCAGTTTCTTGGCTGCTACAAGTAACAGCAACGAACTACTTTATACTGCCTAGACACATTGCCTGCTCTTACCTCACCAACAGCATTTGAGAGAATGTGAACAATTTTCTCATGGGGTGTTGCTACAACACTTTGTCCATTGATTTCAATGATACGATGGCCGACACGCACACCTCCTCGCTCTGCAATACCTCCTCTCATAAGGCTACAGATCTGGAAGGAAAAGGACAAATTTTTCAGGGTCTGGGTAACGAACAGAAGGTTTAGATTACCCATTTTTGCCTGTAAACTGTAAATCAGCATTTAAACACAAAGGCTTGCAACAAATTCAAATTCTAAAATGTAATCGATCGCTGATTCAAAGTAAAATTTGTTAGTGACAAATACCTACTGGACATTCTTTTCCAATAGTAGAACAAACTGTCAGAAGAGGCTGTTTTGTTGCATGTCACATGTGCTGTGGTTTGGAAATTTAAGAGTGTATGAAGGACCACAGTTTAATAATGTTCAAAAAAGCATCAAGGAAAGTCATCTTCTTTTGAGATCATGCAATGATTTGGTTAGAGACATCAATGATGTGGATTGAAAGCAGCATCTGCTACACAGTTTTGTTTCTCTAACCTAAACCAGCTTTTCTGTTCCTCTGGCTGACTCTAAAGTTGTGAACTAAGCAGCATCAAAGACAAAAAATAATAACTAATTAACTCAGGTTTTGTATCTTAGACTTAACATGTGTGCAAAGTTTTGCTTGCTGTAAAGGAGAAAATGGCATCTTCCCTGTTCCCACAGTGAACTTTACCTGCAAATAAGAGGTTTCATGTACATTAAAGCATAACCAGAGCATGTGAGAGCTACTTACAATCCCATTCTGCACACTGAAGCCCAACTGATATCTGAGGTCTGGTCTCCTGATCAAGACTGTGGTTACTGGAGGACACCTAACTATGTTCAGTTTAACCCGGGCCTGGTTTTTCAAACCCTGTGAAGAGAAATCACCATGAAAAACGCTGGCAAAGAGGGAATGAAATAAGCACTGTGGGTGGCAGAAAGTGTTAAAATATTGACATAGGAACAGCCCTAAATGAACAGCTTTGTACGCATTGTAACAGAATCTCATCACTGAATGCCAGACACAATCATCAGAATATTCAGTGAAATAAGTAAAAAAATATGATTTTTTCTTGCTAAGAATTTGACACAGTTGTTTTGAGAAAACTAGCTTCCTGTTTGCAATTTTTGCATTTGATAACACATAAAAAACCCCCAATGACTGTGGACGGGAAATAAAAATCTAAGTAGATAAGATAGTTACAAATAGTGGTTTCCCTAATGGGATATATTAGATTCCTGCAAAGGCAGGTCCTGGTAATACCATGCTTATATAAGCAGTGCTCCTAATTTCCGTTCTGCCTCTCTTCTAAATGAGTTATACTCATCACTGAAGAACCAAAATTTATTTTTACTGACAGGGTGGTAAAACACTGGAACAGATTGCCCAGACAGGTGTTGGAGCATCCAGTCTTAGAGTTATTTAAACCCTAGTGGGCATAGCCCTAAGCAACCTACTGTACTCTGAACTAAAGTATTGGTCTAGACCAGCTTCAGCACCGACTGCCAGCCTCAGACTCCGTGGTTGTATGGCTACATAAAAACTCAAATGTAAAAATGCAGATAACTGCAGCCTGACCTCTTGGACAACTCCAAGTATTCAGAGCTCTTGGAGATAAAGTTAAGATATTTTTCTGAAATGCTTCATTCACACAAAGGATTACTCGTAAATAAATACATGGATAAAATCCTATCAAGAAAGAAATGCTTTATAAAGAATACTGTAACTTCCACCTTAGTACAACACCTACCAATTCAAGTCCCTGCTCCTGAATTCTTTTTATGTGTACAATTGAAATCTGGGTCCCACTGCAACTAGTCAGTGTCTGACACTGACTTTGAAAGGTTAATTCTGAAAAAATCCCCAATTCCTGTAATAGCTATGGTAATACACTGAAGTCCCTACACCCAGTTTATTGCTGCTGATTCTCTTGAGCTCATCTCCAGATTCAGCAGTGACCTGAAAAAATAGACAGGCATCCTGCCAGTGTGAACTGCCTTAGAGTCTGTTTTCTTGTCAGGGCCCTAAACTGGAAGCAACCACCACCTGGCAAACAGCTGTCCTCACTTCCACACCATGCTGAGCTCATGTCATCTCATTATCGAAAATGGCTCCAAAAGAATGGGCATGTGAACACAAAATGACAAAACCACATGGCTGTGGGAACCGCCTCTGCTCCACGCTCAGCAGAAAGAGGGTCTGAACCCCATCCTTTCCATGACTAAGGACTCCTCCACCCTAGTGAGGAGTTAGCAGCTCACCACACATGCTCAGGGGCCATTCATCTTCTATATGGAGGGCTTCATAACAACATACATTGTAGAAGACAGGCACTAACCAACCTGTACTACACTGTGGGTATGGTGTTTACTCACAAGTCTGATGGGCTTTTGCCTCAGCCTTCTAAATACAGGAGGGCAGCAGTCATGCTGCATACTGGAAGTGCCCATTTCTATGAGGAATTCAGGTGTCAAACTTCAGTCATCTCAGTTAACTCAGGTTACATGCCCTCAATAAGAGTTGATATCACTGTGCTCTTATTTCTCTGATGAATGTGCAAGATGTTTTATATGGACTGCTTGAAAGAAGAGTAATGTGGTCTCCAACGAATAATTTTCTAATTTTACAGAAAATGCATACATTTCAGAAGTGGCTAATTTACAGTATTATGCACATTTGTAATATATGCTGATTGGAAACAGAACATTTGCATCACTTGGCCAATTTATTTGCTCATCTAGTCCCGGAGTCTGCTTCTGATCATGGCCAGCACTAGATGCTGCCAAAAAAGATACAAGTGGCATCGTACAATTAGAGAATAACCACCACATATGGAAAGCTTCTTCCGAGCTCCGACAGTTTGCAATTGGTTTATGGTCAATTAGTAGCAGAGATTACACCCATAATACTGAAATTATCTTATTTTAAGTGCTTGCAAGATATTCTTCTTATATGCAGAATATTCTCATCTTTTCATAGGAGTCCTTACAGCATGATAAGGAAATCTAAAATCCTGAGATATTTCTGCCACATTTAAATGTGTGCTTAGATCACCCAGTGGCGTATATACTTGTTTCTAGAAGCACCACATGAACAGCTCCAGATGTATGGTCATGAAGACCTGCAAACATATACGCTATCTTCTCATTAGAAAGATAAAAAAAATGGGTAGCAGTTCCCATGGCAACACCAGTAAGTATCTGTGAAGAAGAGAAAGGTCTGCAGAACCTGGAAACAGCAAAGCTGGTTGTTTCTGTTTTGAGAAAGTACAGAAGAACAAAACAAAATGTCTCCTGAAAAGGCTCTGAATAACAAAAGTTTAACTCATCACAATTTCAAAAATAAAATTGACGTGGGACAGGAAGCAACATGCCTAGCAGAAAAAGCCTAAATCTAAAGTGAATTTTGTTCCACTGAAGCTGGCATAGAGATATCTAATTTTTTTTCCTTCCTTTACAAATTTTAGACTGTTTTTGTGATAGTTTTAGTATGCTACACTCCCAGGCTATTATTTCTACTCATTGAATCTAAAATAGCTGTTTCAGTGACTTAGGCATCTATTACTCATCAGAACTCAGGGTCAACATTTTTGGAAACTAGAATGAGAAGTTCTTACAGCAAGCATCTTAGTTCAGGTATTAAGAAACCAATTAATACAGAAAAATTAAAAGTTCAATCTGTAATTTTTTTTGTACTTTGTAAATTTACTTTGCAAATGCAAAATCTACTTTACAACTTTAAAAAGTATTAAATGCAAAACAACCCCGACTGTATTATGTAATGCAATTTGTCACCAAAAAGTTGACTGAATATACACGTTTAACAGGCATTTTCCAAAGTCTTTTCTGATAACTAGAAGAAAGCTCTTCTAATTAAAGCAACCTATTTATCCAAGTGAAAAGAAGCATCACACTTTCCACAGAGGATACGTATATCTTTAATTCAAAGTTTACAAGTTTTAAAAACAGTCATAAACAACTACAGAAAAAAAATACTGGATACTAGGAAACATTTAAACAGTTAATGTGGCCCAGACCATGCCTGCATTTGTCACACAAAATTTTAAGTACATATATGGTAATATCTTCCTTCTGAACAAAACACTCTTTTGTGAAGTTCTACACAAAGTGCTTTTCTTTCAGATAAATGGCACAACTCACCTTCTGGGAGTCAGAAAATTCGTGTAGCGTGATTCCCAAGGCAGTTTAAAGATCATGAAATGGGAAGTGCTACACAAACAGTCAGGAAGAATTTATTTAGGAAACCTATACTTTCTGCCCTCCTATTATGTAACCCTTTCAGAATGTGTAACTTCAAGAAACATTCTCCATACCTTTATAATGCTCTGACACGTTGAGAGTGGTAAACCAACCAAGCTGGTCCCATTGATTGACATGATCTGGTCCCCTATGTTCAGCTTCCCAGACTTCTCCGCTGGTCCTCCATGCATCATGTTGGCTATGATGACTGTAGGCAAAATGGATCCCCAGCCAGACTCCACGATCACTACACCTAGGATCTCTCCCTTTTGCTTTTCAATGTAAACCTGTATAATAAGAAAAAGTGTTTTGCAAACTAAAAAAAAAAAAAAAGGCTTCTACACACCTATGTAACTAACACAGCCCTCCTCCAAACATTCATAGAACCAACAAACATATACGCCTCCTTATTTGCAATCTGCCTTCCTAAGTCAAAGGCAAAATAAAATAGGGTACACATTTTACTACATTTCGTTTGTATTCAAGCACAAAATAATCAGCAGATTTTGCTCAGTGCAAAACACCCTAACAACTTAGTTAGCATATAAGCAGAAGAAATGGGAGTGGAAGAAACCCTGGTGCCATGGGCTTTGGCAGACAAAGCTAAACAGGAAGCGACTGCAAAAGTTTATGACTGTGGATTGGAAAATCACTATCTATGTGCTCCTGTGGTGCACCAGTTCATCTTTATTAACTGAGCTGCAAATCTCTCCAGCAAGTACAATTCTTTAAAATCTGGAATCAGACACTTTCACAAACATCCAAGCCTCTACAAATGTTATATAGTTTACTATCATCTGTTAAATTCTGTTAGTCTGTTTGTTAAAGGTTCACTTTCAAACATGTCTGCAAATTATTTGGTAAAAAGAACACAAACAGATGGTAAATCATTTCACTGCTGATAAATTTTGGATTCACTGTTTGCCTTTGAAACAGAACTGATGACAGGGTGTCCTACCTGGGAGGATACTCTAGACTGACTAAGGTCAGTCACAGGAAGTATTAGTGGTTTTCTGACTTCTGCCAGCATGGCCCTGCAACTGATATAGAACAGCTTAATGCTGTTATGGAGAAAAAAAAAAAAGAAAGAAAAAATACATACATCTTTGCAGTTTTCAGATTTGGAGAAGTGAATCAGATCATCATTGTACATGTCCTGGGTATTGAGCAAGTCACTGTACTCCTTCTGGCTAAGGTCTTCAGGGTTGATTCCGTTTGCCCTCAGAAATTCCTGGTAGGCCACACTAAATGCTTGACCTATGGACTGTGCAATCAGCTGAGCCTGTAGCAGTTCCCAGAGAAGAGAAAAGAAAAAAAGTGAAACATTCTGATGGTCTTTTCCACTGACGTTTTCCCTGTTACAGTCACAGTATAAAAATGATCATCACGTTGACAAACCAACAAGCTAAACTGCAATCCAGTTTAAAAAAAAAACATTTTTGTGTTAAAAACTAATTTAAAAGACCCACCAAATGTCAACACATTCACCTGTGCTGTGAATCCAACTTGGTAAGCAACTGCAAATGAGAAATACAAATAAAGCCATCCTTTCCCAGGCAAGAACTGTTAATATAAATGTCAAGGTACAATCACTGCAGTGACTGTACCTCTCACCCATAATTCCTTGCATATGTGCAACTCCCAGATGGTTCCTCCCTCTAGCAGAGGCAACGCCATTCTCTGACAATCCTGCAGTAAAAATGCACATGTCTACCAGAAAACACACAGCCACATTTAAGGGGGTATTTCCACCTTTCCTTACCCTTGTTTAAAAATATCAAGTTCACACTGGCTGCTCATACCACAGTCTCAGACAAAAAATGAAAAGGGCAGCAACTAGTGACTGGATCCAGACTTGGAAGTGATTGGAAATGGTCACACACACATCTCCTTCTCCATCCTGCTACCCTTCCTCAACCTCTCTCCTCTTCATTTCTTGTTTCCCTCCCTCCAATTCCCATAACTCTGCCAGTTCCCTGCACCATCTCTCCTCCTCAGCCTGTCCTTCATGTGCATCCTCCCACACCTGCACCTTCCTGTAACCTTCTCTGCACCTAAAGCCACCAGGTGTGCCACATTGCTCCCACCATGAGTTGTTCTACATCTCCAGCAAGTGAGAGAGAAACTGGGCACAATGCAGACACAGGGAAAGCTCTGTCTACGGCAAGTTGGGAGATGCAGCTGGAAACAGCAGAGCAGTGGGATGCCTCTCTTTGCATTTTAAAGCAACTCAAACTAACACTAAACCTGCAAATGAGAATAGTATGATTGCTGGTGCTGAAAAGGACAATACTTAGACTGGCAGTATTTTACCAATGCTCAGATCAACCCAGCTTTGACAGTAAGAAAATGGGAAAACTAAGCCTCCATAGCTCAGTAACCTAAGTTAGAAGATAAACATGGACTTTACACACATATCTGCTCTCTAGGAAGAGCAACTCCCACTTAAGACATTCAGCATTTGGACACATCACTAGGATTTTTCTTACTCAAAGATCCAGCTCTAAATATAGTTGAAAATCTAGTGCTGCCCTTCTTCGATAAGATCTCTTCCAAGCAGAGACACATTCTGGCCAACACTTGTCTGAAGGCTTACAGCCTCTGTGTCAGTTACTGAGTAAATTCCTCTTCCCCAAAGAATAAAAAGGTGACAATGATACATACATGAGTTTATACTATAATCAGGCTGTACTACTCCCCTCACTGTACAAGATATTTGAAGCTTCCATCTCCTTGCTGCTAACAGGTGCTAAAATATTTCCTGTTCTCTTAGTCATTTGGGTATTTGAGGTAAATTTTCTAAGTTATTTGTGAACTGTACCTTGACTAAGGCATGCTGATATAATCTCTTGCAATTTCTCAGAATTTTTTCACATCACTGAGCAGTGCTTTTATTGGATCTACAAGCAAGCACTTTCCAGGCCAATATATAGTGGCACAGGGAGGATCACATCTGATACAAATACAGGCTGATCCATATAAACCATAGAAAGTAATGTCAGGGATTCCCGAAAGAAAGTGGAGATTTCAGCTAGCCAAAGTATTAATAATAGCTTGGGAAACAGATCCAGGGAGTCTGGATCATAGTCAGACCACCATATGCTGAAGGAAAATATGCTCTGGCATCTGACAGCTTGAGTCTTCCCTTTTCAGTTGGCCAGTAAGAGAACCAGCATTGTCCAAACCCATGACTAGAAATACAGGAAAAGCATCTCAAAGTGGGCAATATAACAAGTGATATTATGCCACAAAAAAAACCAACAACTTGCTACCCTTTTTATTATTACACCAGTTTCTTGAAAGGCTTTGCAAAACTCACTTACATGTTACTTTAAGTGGAAAAAAAAAGTCACAATTTTTTATGCTCTCTGTCAAAACTTCAGCAGAGGATTACTTCCATCAGCACTCTTATCCTTACTGTTTAACCTCAGCAGTGGGTCATGTATTTACATTCATCTGCAACCAGGTAATTTATCCAGACATAGGTTTAGAATAGATTCATCATTACATGCAGCTGCTTATTCAGAAAAACCTCCTCATTTCAAAGTCCTTGCTGATACACTGTAGAGTGGAAGACATTTGACTTTTTTATAAGAAACTGATATTTCACCGCACTTCTGTAAAGTAATACTCTGCTACCTTGAGGGCTTGGAACTGGGATTCTTTTATTTTCCTAAATTAAGGATAATTTGATTATGATCCTGACAACTACGTATCTACCCACATCAGTCTGATACGTCTGATTTTACCCTTCAGCTACTGAGCTTTAAAAATGCATAACATCAGCAAGTTATACACACAGTGACTGTGAGGACAGGATGTCAAATCCTGTATAAGCTAACTTAGTGGCCTGCACCATACACTAAAATTTACTGAGCTGTGTCTCTATTCGGCACACTTTGGGATTGCTGGAATTACCAACTTTGCTGGCTTTTTGGTACGATGTCAGCAACTACTCCCCAACACAATTCTCTTTCTCAAAAAATAAATAAATCACCTTTCTAGTGTGTATCAACGATTGAACCTTGATGCAAGACTTGAGACTAGAATTTCTCTAGGAAAATAATCAACCCTGCTAGACTTTCATATGTAGTATTTGAGCTTATATTTGTAAGCTATGGCAACGCTCCCCTCGTCTTGTTACGGGAAGGCACTGAAGGAACTTAAAAATGGTAAGCATTTCTATAAACAGCAATTTTGTGAGTAAAATGACAGGTTCACACATGCAAACAGAAGGCAAGCTCCTCTGCTTAAATGAAATATTTGATTGCATTTAATGAACAAAGAGGACCACTTGCAATGGACTGCAAGCCTATCAAAATGTGCTTACATTCCTACCCCTAGAAAATTACAAGACAGAGTAACTCCTTACATCCTCAGACTCAAAGACATGGCAAATCATTTTGTACTGCCTCTTTCCATCTTGGGAAGGGTGAGATGCTTCCACATTATCCTGGGAGTTAGACCGTGGCATTCGCCTACGAGCCATCAAAACAACTATATTTCCTATATCTGCAATGTAAGAAATGGTCCGCAGGGGATGATCCATCATGGTTTCCTGCAGAATACAAAAAACAACATAAGCAGCTGTTTCAAAGAAATTCTTATTGCACAGCTAGTATTGTGAAATCGAATGGCAATCTAAGGCCTTTGCTAAGCAAAGTCTGTAATGCCCATGATACATGAAGGGAGATTCCAACAGATAACAAGAGTTTTGCTTTCCAAAAGTAAAGCCAAGAGCAAGCTTTACAAACTAAACTTTTGTTATCTTTGGAAAGGCCTCAAACATACAGACCTCAACATCAGAACCTGAACATGCAGGTGTGTGCAAAGGACTATGAAAATCAAATTACCACAGCCAACCATTTTGGTCTACTCTGGGCACAAGCAGATGCATAACAGCTCATAAGAAACGAGCGGCCTGCAGTGAGCTTACTCGCAAATTCTAACAATTTCTACTATTAAACACAGCACAGTAACTGCATGTATGACATGGTTCCTGAGCACGGATTTCTTAGTAGGAAGGAAACACAAAAGCCAGCACTTTTTGAAGGACTAATTTTGGCAGGCAGGTGAAAGACTATTTCGATAACCTACTATCAGAATAACTGGCAAAGTCATCTTTGTCTATACCTGTGTGTCTGCGTTCAGTACTTTTATTCTTTGTGTAGAAATGAAGAGGTCCACTTCAGTCATGGGTTGAGATTCACCTTCTGGAGCCTGCAAATAAATGGATTATAGTCAAACGCACATATTAGGTAACACACTTACTAATGATGTTAGCTCACGAACAGGGGCGCACTAAGACACAGTCACCAGAACAGCAATGCAAGATAGAGTAATCAGACTGCAGAAGCTAAACACAAATATATGGAAACTATATACATATACGTGAAAGTGAATTGGATATTACCTGAAAAATTTTTTACCCCATAAAAGATTCCCTGATACTTTTTCCCGATTCAGTAAAGTTATACCTGACTGCAACATAAACTATATAAAGATTTAATGAAAATCAAAATGATTCTCCCTTTTTCTCCACACCATGAATCACACATTAAAGAGGGTTTTTCACACAAGCCATACAAAGGCCAAACAGCATCTCTTGCCTGAGGAATTTGTATAGGTGTATATAACAGTGGCTGCCAAGACTAATGGAAAAACCTGTACCACTGGTGGGTACAGTTTAAGCAATGCATAATGCAGTTCTGGTAAGAAGATCTCCACAGTCAGACAAATACCATTCAAGCACTAACCCACTGTAGAAGTCATATTTTGTTAACAGAAAGCAAACACTTGTAACTTTTTAAAAAATTAGGTTAACAGATGCTTACAAAACTCCAGAAATGAAACTTATTATTGAGTCAATCTCAGCATATTACTGTGTGTATATACATAAACTTTTTTCTTTTTTGCATCCAGCAATTTGACACATCTGTGAATCAAACAAAGCGGCCTTATAGAAAGACAAAATAAAAAACCAGACTCAATTTTAATCTATCGTTTTACAGAGTTAAAACCTTTGCCATGTCAGTCCTATTTCTTTAGCGTGTTTTTTTGGTATAGTGCCTGTAACCTTTTGGTTAATCCAATCTTTAATCTATTTCTAACATGAAATGGCTAATGATAAGCAACAAAAGATGGCCAATCAGGCAACTGATTTCTGAGAAATGTCAACTTGTATGATGGCTCAGAAATAAATCTAAAAAAAACTTGCTGGATGCAGAAAATAAAAACACAAAATAAAAGAAAGGCAAAAAACTCTCCCAGAAAACAAAAGAACAGGCATAACATCAAGCTGATGGAGTTTGTACTGCACCTTCTTCCTGCTTTTGGCTAATTTCTGGGCCATCTGCTTAGCATGGAACAAACAGAGACAGGAGAACAGTTAGAGAAGAACTTACAGAGACTCCAAGTCAGGCAGGAATCTGCATGCTAATGCCAGGGCTCACAGACTACTAGCTGTTCTAAATTAGTCCCTGCTTAGATTAATTTCCTCCTTTTCTTTATGGCTTAAAAAAAAAATATTTAAAAAATTCATGTTTAGCATACTTACTTTAAAAATGAAAAGAAATTGCACCAAAAGAACCAGTAAGAACACAAAAGGACTTTTTTTTTTAATTTAAAATGTTACAACAAACAAGGGGTTTTATGTGCAGTTTTGCTTCTTGATTCTTTTTTTTTTACAGAAAAAAAACGGAGCTTCCTCTCATTTACATCAGTGTAAACTATGTTACTTCTTCCGAAATGAGACCAGTGTAAAAGGTGAGAGAAGAATCTTGACCATTTTTATTCTGCCTTTTTCAGATATACATAATTTAGATTCAAGCTTCCTAATGCTCTCGCACTTAAAAGATTCTTCAAAAAATAACCTCCCTAGAACTACACTACTTTTTCCTGGAAAAACAAAATGAAGGACCATAACTTTCACCTCTATTTTCTCTATGTCCTGGGCAAATATGCCCATATCAACGTTAGCACCAAGATACATCCATTCTACCACATTTTTTCAAGAAAGCAATGCACCTCTGTTTCAGAAACATCTGAAAATGGTTTGTTGTCACTAAGTAGTTTAACTGATTTACATCCAGAGACATAGTAATCCAACCAATTTCTTATGTTCTACTTCTCTGTCAGTAATAACACCACAAATAAGCATCATTCTTAAGGCCTTGCAATCATTAACTCAAACCAAGGTGAACTGAACTTAGGGACCTGCTTACTGAAGAAATGCAATACCCACCAGACTGGCAGATATCCTTTTACTTCCAACAGTAACAGCCTCTTAGCTAATTAAATTAACAGACGTTCCTGTCATGGGTAGGAGGCTTTCTACTACAGGCTTCATGTTGATTCACGACTAACTACTTACATGAAGAACAAACAGGAGGCCTGAATCACAGGACTCATCTAAAGCTTCATACTGATGCTCACAAATTAAATGTGTTAAGTTTGGTCTAAGCAAACCTGAAAACAGCTACTGAAGCTCTGGACCATGACCCTAATTTACAGATACAAACATTTTCACACTAGCTCTTAGTCACCTTTTTCAAACAAAGAAGTATTTGACAGCCTGGTGATCGCAAACTATTGCAAAAGTAATTAGAACCGCCTCATCCCGCAGGCTACTACTCAGAAATAACATATTCATCTTGAATAGCAGCTGCCTGCCGTATACTGAGCAAGGGGGAGACGCGAATGAGACAGAGCATCTAAGTGGCCTTCCAGAATCAAGCTCTCCTTCAGACAATACTTTCCACTTCCCAAACTTTACAGAGTGACAGACCTCATGAAAGAAGAAAAGCATAGGCCAAAACCAAAGATGGTAGAGAAATCCTTCAAACAGAGATTTAAAATGCAGAATCAAAGATTAATCTAAATACACTACCATTCAATTTATTGAAAATACTGCTTTTGCAATGGAAGCATCCAGTCTAGGTAGTTTTTAATTTTTTGAAGAATGACTTTCAAATACTTCATAAAACTAAAGTAATGGTATGGAACAACCAGTTCTAGTAAGCGATTTAACACTGCACAGAAATATCATAAAAGAAGTTCTGGTCTGCAAAAAAAAAAAAAAGAAGAAAATTCTATGCAAGACACTTTATCAGACAAATACTCTTTATCAACACTTTATTCCGCTAATTTAGATCAGAAGATTGTGTCTATATTCTTAGAAAAACTCCAGAAACTATCTAATCTAAATAAAGTATTATATTTTTAAAAATACACAGAATCCAGGTTTTTCATGTAAGGTAAATTAAATGTAACTATGTATCTGGTAGAATTGTCCAAAATAAAAAATGGTTAAAAACCAACAAGCTTCCACTTTTGCTACAGGGATATCTTAAATATAACCAATCCATTTAACCTCTACAAAAAATGTACTCCAACTCAATGAACACTCAAATGACACTGAGCTAACAAAATGTACAGAATATCAAACTATTTCCACATATGGGTTCTATCTTAAATTACATTTAGTAACTAAATGAGATGTTGTCTAAAAAAGTTCAAGCTGCCACTCATCTCAAATCTGCTGATTGAGAATAAAAATGAAATGTAATATTTAGTTCATATGTGAAATGTAACAGCACAGAGCAGCTGGGAACTGTAACCAAAAACATCATTTTTTTTACTGTTTTAAATATTATGGATCCACTCCAAGTAAAATGTGAAAAGATATTTCTTTCTGTAGTGTCTGAAGAAATGAAACTATAGTCTGAAAATGGTGAAATAACTTTTCTATTACTAAAAGCACCTCCTAGTGGAAATATGAAACAACCGTGTTTGATGAATGCCCTCAAGGCAGTGTATCTGTTATAACTGAGTTGGACTTCACAGACATGTATGCCCAAGCATGAAAACCTTCAACTTTCGTACTTTTAACTGAAGTGATACTTGTGTAAAGAAGCAGCGTGGAGAACTGTTCTATTCTAAATGGAAGAATATGTGGTCTGATGGTTCTGTTAAAAAGAAGCATTACAGGGACTACTGAATCCATAAGGACACACGCATATGGAAGGTAGGTGTACATAGCAGGCCCTAAACAAAGCTCTTCCCTCCTTTTTTATGCTCTCCAAGTCCGTGGATTTTTAGAAGTTCATTCTTAATTTACATCCTTTGTCTTCTTTAACAACAGAGAAATGTTGCACATGCAACACCTAACACTCTCTAGACAAACGTGTACAGAGCACAAGTATTTCAGTCATTGTGTGAGAACAATATTCTACACCTTTGGGCTAAAGGCTATCTCATGTGTACATTAATCTGGCAGCAGGAACTCCACACGTCATAATGAATTATTCACTAAAAAAAAGTTTAGCTTTACTGGCAATCAGCAACAAAACCAGCTGAAACCAACTCTAATAAACCAAAGATCCTAAGTTTCAGGGATGTGTATTTACATTGCCTTAGCTTCACCTGGAAGCACAAAAGCTGTAACTTTCAAAGAAGTGTACAATGGAATTATGTGCCATTCAGTATGCCAACAATTTTCTGATATATACCTACAGTTTCAGAAAATTATGTACAGCAGCTAGGATTTTACCAGGTCAACAGTGAAACTATGTGGGCCTCCATACTGAGACAAATTTAAGAGTATGCATGCCTGCTGATTTATACAGATGTATAAATTACACATTTTATGAGTGAAATGAGCTAAACAGATTTCTTCGAGGTACAGCAGTGCTGAGGCACAACAGAATCCTCAGAAAAAAATTTATTTTGTTAATGAATTTCTAAGACATACATTTAGTATCAGTGAAAGATCCTGTACTCAGGCCTCACAGTCCTGCTTTGAAACAATCCTGTCCCGGTTTCCTCCTATATATCCCTTCAGTCTTTGCCTATTGTGTACTTCCTCCTAGGTGCAACTTCTCTCCCAGCCCCAGGTTCAGGTTCAACTCCTAATACCAGTTTCCTACAACAGCTGATGATAATCTTCCCTTTCAACCTCCAGTGCTGTGTCCCTCCCAGATCCAACCTCACCAAAGCCCTTATTTCTCTCACTTCTCTATCTTAACTTTAATTTCCTGTGCATTCAAATCAGACAACTTTTCTACGGTGTGACCAAGCATCAAGAAAGAATACATAAGGACTACTGAAAGGAGAGGCACAGCCTTGCTTGCACCCAGAATAGGAGAGAAGCAGATTCTATACGGGAGTCTCTACTGCAGTTTTGGGAAGAACCCACTAAAACCCACCAGGGTTCAGAAAGCTGAATGAAAAATCTTTTAGAAAAATGTCGCTGAATTGGGAGTCTCCAAAAAATAGTGATATATCATTCTTTTTCAAAAGGCTCAGTAGTTTGCGGAAACTTCTACAGAGATGGCTGATGACTTATCTGCCACAGGAAGGCTACATCCCTGCCTCCTCTAAAATGCTAGTGTTAATGTTTTCAGCGACAAGGTTACAATAACTTAGGTATTTGAATATCAGCAAATTAGGATTTCTGGAAGTGTTCCAATTATTCTAGCTGGAGCTTCCCTACGAAAGTTCGATATACAGACCACATTGAACACCTAGCACAGAAAACAGTGGACAGACTAATAACAAGAGGAAGCATCAGCCAATCTTAATAGACAGAGCTATCAGTCTCTCTTCCTCTCTCTTTTATACAATTGCACACCAAGTCTGAGCTGGGATCCAAATAAACTATACAAAAGAAGAATGCACCATTGCTAAACTAAGGAAAATTTTCAGATGAGATTATGTTGGTCAGCTGAATTAGCAGAAGATGAAGCTGTGTGTCTACCCCCCAGTCATATATGGGTAGAGGCAGTAACTGCAGCATCCTCTACAACCATGCAATACTTCATCCACACTCATTAATTGCAGCTGACATCATCATCATTGAAACTTAAAATACAGCAGCATGCCCTACTTGTCACAGCCCATACAGAAACCAGTGGGCATTTCTGTTTTCCAAACAAAGCAAACACACCAGATTTCAGGATGAATTATGCTTTTCCCATACATCTCTCTACTGCCACAGGCTTTTCTTTTTGCTTTTAAATCAGCTCACAGATGTTCAATGGAACCTAGTACCCTAGTACACAACAGGGTCAAAAAAATAACTGCAGGCATTACCAGAGTACTAGTTCCATCAGGTGCCAAGCCAGAAGCAGCTGCAGTACTTCTAGTCATACCCTAAACACACTTACCCTCAACAAGTAATATATAACTCGGACAACCACTCACTTAAGATTCTAGGTTAGAGTATGCAGCAGAAGTATCACTACAATTAAAATGATATGGTAACTTTTCCTTTTCAATCCTGTTCTAAAAGCACCATTAAAAGTGGCTTATTTTGCAGAAAGTAAGATGAACCACTCAACCTTTCTGAAATCACAGATAACCCCACATGAAAAAAAATACTGCATACGTAAGGAATTTGTATTTGCAACCTTAAGGTACTTGTATAAAAAGCAGCAGGAACTACTCCTTACCTTGATCCTGCTGACAGCTTCTTGAGCCTGCATCATCCTCACATTCTTGGAGGGTGTTTTATCAGAAAGGAGTTGAGTTGAGCCAAGGTAATTGGCAGCAAAAATTATTCCATCGATTAAGTCTTCAGGATCGCAAGGTCCAGGAACTGTAACACAGGAAATCAATCACTGGAAGAAAACCATGTTGGACTACAGCAAAACAGCAGCACTCTGACAACATGAGCCTGTGCCTGATGACTGCAAATCCTCCTCTGAAATATTTCAGTTTAGCACAATGATATGGAAACCAGTATGTTCAAAGTTACAAACATCAGGCAAATGCTCACAACGTTTGTGGTGGGTTGACTCTAGCTGGATATCAGCGTTCCATCAAAGCTGCTCTGTCACTCCCCCTCTCAGCTGGACAAGGGAGAGAAAATATACAATGAAAAACTCAGGGGTCGCAATAAG